TTCAGGCTGTAAAAACATAACCCCCCCCTCTTTTCCACACACACACATCTCCAAAAAAAGGAAAGCTTTTGAAGCTTGGGACTTTTAGCAAACCGTTGCCGGTGTTCCGCGTACCGCACTACGCGTGAGCACTACGCGTGATATCGTGACCGCGAGGCGCGAGCTTAAAAGCGTGCTTCAAAGGCTCCCGTAGTGCGGTACGCGGAACACCGGCAACGGTCTGCTAAAATTCCCTATTTTCACCCGCGTTTCTGGACCACTAGCGTTGCGCCTGCTGCACGAGTAGATACTTTGGCGCACTTCAGCGGTTACGAAGCGCTTATCACCTTTTCAAAAATTGACTTAGTGGGCTTAGATGTCGCTCAGCAAGTGTGTAATTAGAACCGTCTGTTTCTTTTCACGAATTAAAAAAAGCTAATGGACACATCTCAGTCAGTTATTAGGCCTATCGTGGCGATTAGCCTCCCACATAATGTCCCCCAGGTCGTGTGACTCACCCGCACAGACTACATTAGCGCTCCTTTCACGGCTTTTTTTAATAAACATGTTCGAATTAAAATCAAACACCCTGTATAAGAACAGTCGTCACTGTGACAATGACCATCCCGTGAGCATTCAAAGCGTCATGATCGGGGTCACAGCGCAGAATCATTTTTATAGATGTAAACATATACATTCAGAGTCGTCATTCGTCTAAGCTCTCTCCGTAGAGCTAGTGCAGCAGTTGGGTCTCCGGGTACTTTGCGAAAAAAATAGACAACTCAACTCCGTGACGTCACACCACTGCGGTGGCGCTGCTGTCGGCAGTGGGCATGCGCAGATTCTTCGCGTCAGAGCGGTGAACCATAGACCCCTTTTCTAGAGTTCCTGTATAGGCTCCCTACGGGAGCCAGAGTTGCGCATTTGTTTTCCCCGCGCCGCCACGCCGCTATTCGCCGAGATCCATCACGTGAGGAGCAAAGCATCCGTTGGCGTGCAAGAAAGCCACCTGTACGGTCGCTCCGCCGACGTTTCTCTTGCCCCGGCGTATGTTTCGCTGCTTTCCGCCTCCTTTTCCTCCTCTCCTGTTTTCCATGCGCGGCGGCGCGCGCGGCGCCGCTATTCGCCAAATTTAGTCACGTGAGGAGCAAAGCATCCAGGGAGTGCGGGAAAGCCGGCGCTACGGCCACGCGCCGAGGCTGAATGCGCAACTCTGCTACCGTAGGTAGCTATACAGGAACTCTACCCTTTTCAAAAGAGGCGCGCCATCTAGTATCTACTGCAGGAATTATCCGAGACCGCCATTGCTTGCTCGCATACTCTTGAGCATGTATTGGACACGAGTGCTGCGTCAGCGGTCGGCGAGGGCTCGGAGCCAATCGCATATCTCGTGTGCAAGGATGGATAGACGGTAATGGCCATACCCTTTGCAACGGGTGGCAGCTTGCGCCATCTAGCCCACCTAGCCAAGAAATGGCGACCCCCAGTGTTGCTAGATGAATTTTTGAAAAAGGGATATTAATCGTTCATTGGCTTCACCATGTCACGCCTTTTACGCCGGAGTGGTATACCAAGTTTTAAGCGAGAGCACGTCAATATATCCAACAGAAGAAGGTCTAGGAAATCGCTTATTGCAAAGAAAAAAAACAACAACAACAATAACATTATTCAGATCTATGAAGGCCCAAGTGCTAGAGTTTATTTAGCCTTGGTGGTTTGTGTAAAATGTCGGATAAGAAAAAAAAATCAATTTATAAAAACACGTGTTCTCGCACGTGCGCCTCCTAAAATGTTCTTGCCGAATCGTGGCAACTAAAAAAAAATATATAATCAAGCATTACATGTTTTTTGTCGCCTCATCGTGCTCCGATTCTTGTGACATGCTTCAGGAGCTTTCACCGGAAAGTCAGTTCTTGATAAGAGATCATGGTCAGTTTCATTGAAGGCCCGATTGCGAGAGTGTACGTAGCGCCGTTTTATGCCTTGTTTCAACTAGCGCATAAGAGAAAATACATACATAAAAACACAAGTTCTCGCACATGCATTCTACATGCCTGCTTTTTGCCAAAATCGTGGCAACTAAAAAAGAAAAATAATCGAGCATCACACATTGTGTTGTCGCACCATCGTTCACGTGCGTTTTATAGTCACAGTATAGTACATTGAATCTTGCGACACTACCATCAGCGCTTACACCAGAAAGATATCTTGGTGCTAAATATTATTGTTGCCACATATTTCGAATTGTGTGTTTTCGGATAAATCCGATAAAAGAAAAAGAAGAAAAAAAAACTTGCCAATTAAGTTTTTATTAATTTGGATTCATTTAAAAAAAACTTAAAAAATCGAGGTCACAGCGACAAAATAAAAACAAACAAACAAAGACGTTGTACTACAAATAAACTTAATAAGAGCGGAGGGTCAGCGGTCCCGAGGATATGCCGCTTCAGTTTTCTTTGAAATCTCGAACTACTGATTTCATTAGCAAGGTTGACGTCTTCGTTTTTCTTTTTCTGCCACTATTTATCTATCCCGAACTTCTGACAAAGGGGGTTTGCCTTCTCGTCAAGGTTCCTTCAGGACAACGGGTCATGGTACCCGAATAATATTTATTTTGTTTTTATGTATAAAAAAATGGAAACACAGTAAAATGAGCTCAGAATTTCAAAGAATAGGGAGTCCAGCAAAAATAAACTTCGATAAACCCCGATTTTTCAGCGAAAACTTAATTCCGACAAACACCCTCCGAATTTCATGAAAAATAAACCCCGAAAACGCGGAATCCTACACACATCTAGAGTTTCTTCTCAAACCTAAAAAACAAAACAAACAAAAAAACAGTCCTCCCCTTTTTTCTTTCTATTTCGCCTAGACTGCACTTATTAAAAAATACGCCCCCCCCCCAAAAAAAAAAAAAGACAACCGGGGGGGGGGGGGGGGGGGGGAGAGAGGAAGTAATGTGTTGATACCCTAAGTGTAGCTGACGTTGTTGAATTTTGGCTTAGCTTTGTTGGGGGAAAATATAACCTCTTGATACTGCAGATTGGGCGAGTTGGTAAAGCATGACCAACATACAAGCGCTCAGGTAATTGAGTGTATTTCTTGTGTGCTTGGATTTATTGAGTGAGTGTCTACCTATGCGCTGGTACGTAGGAAAATAGTAAATAATTTTACTTGACGATTGGAAGGCTGAAGAATTCAAAGGGTTCATGACAATAGTTCTATATTTTTTTTTTGCTGTACTTTTTTACGGTAGTGATGCCTGAAGTATACACTTTAATTTTTGTCGCGCAACCCAACTAAGTCATATTTCAACATGGCATCCGTCACACGAAAACGGTCTATAGGAACTCTACCTGATATTTGAGTACCCATATCGCATCTTCCTTGGAGCCTTGTAACAAGTTTCTTCGTTTTCGAAAAAAAAACGAAAGAAAAAAAGAACCGCTTCTCTGCTAACACAACGAAATATACCCATGTAGTGAAAAACCAAAGGCTGCAACAAAAAATCGGAACAAAAAGGCAAAATAGTCTGTTTTACCGCCATTATATTTTTATTTTTATTTTCCTTCTGCTGTGAACACACGTTTTTATCGGTCACGGTCATTTTATCGTGCGAACGCAAACCCGGAAACGTTCCTTTTACTGTTGCCTGGCATATCCGTAGCTATCTGCTCTATTTAAAGCGTTTTATGCATCGTTATCGGAAGCAGAGACGCGAGTACGGCGTTTTAAGAAAACCGCTTTCAGTTTAAAGGCAGAAGAAGTGTGCAGACCTGTGCAACCGCGCCTATGCTTTTGATAGCGGTCCCCAGGTGCTGTGAGATGGAGTGTATAGATATAAAAACGCGAATGGCAACCCCGTCCCCACCCCCGCTTACCACGTTCCTCAAATCTAGAAGAAATTTACTTATCTAGTGGTATTAGGTTCATCAAGTTTCGAAATGAAACCGATATGTTTATCTTCAGTAATTAAAAAAGTTAAAGCACATTGTAGTTCGTTATTGGGCTTATCGTGACGTTTGGCCCCACATATATTAGGTCCCCCTGGTCGTATAGCTCACCTGCACAGACTGCACTAGTTTACATTTGACGGCTTTTGATTTCATATAGCTCTGAATTAAAATAAAACACCCTAGTAGTATATAGACTATAAATTAAAAAAAAAATACAGAAAACGCATACCTGTTGCTTTCATCCAGCACAAAACTAGGATGTACCGCTATATCATGTCAGTCCCTCTTTGGGCGCCAACGCCAATCGTACACAACGCGTTAAAAAAACTATGCAGCGACGTTCGCCACAGCGACCAAAGCTGTCGAGAGGAAAAGTGGGAAAACAGTCAACAGGAAAACTGCAAGCAGGGTAAGAAGCTGTCTTACGAGTTAAACTGCCATTCCAAGGGCTTGTGTGTCTTCCTGATGCATCTGAAACACGCAAAGAGGAAACGCCGTTTTGAATCGAAAAAGAAAAAAAAAAGAAAGGACCGCGGGCAACGAACGATATTTGTTTTAATTAAAAGAAAACTCGTAGTAGGTGTCCGCGAATGAATGCGACGAGGTGATAACTTTGCGGGTGATCTAACGGGATTCCATAGTTGTCTGCAGGTCACGGTGGCTGCCCCACAATGTTGCCTCTGCTCGTACACGCGGAAATATCTCGAGATTCGTAACTCAAATAGCCCGTTCCGCATATTGTCCTTCTCCACCTCTAGGCAAATAATAACTCGCATTCGGCACACAATCGCTTCATCTCAGAAAGAATGCCCACGCGTGATGAGCGGCTCAAACAATGGCGATTGCTCAAGCTGCGACCCATCACGCTGAGTCACATTTTAGGACGACACGGCGGGCGGCTTAGACCTTGACCGCATCGATCCAGAACATCAAACAAAACGAAACAGCCTGTCGCGGCGCGACAGCTCCGGCTGCAGTCTGCACATCCCCCAACTTTCACAGAAAGACAGCTCGCACACGTCACTCCTCCGCGTCACCGCTACGTTGCAACCACGTGACAGTGACGTCTCTCCAGGCAGTTCCACTAACGTTGGGAAGGTGCAATGGGGGGGACAGCGGGGCTCGGGCCGGAGGTGGTGCGTCGCGAAGCGTGTTGTACGGGTGGGCCTGGTGGGTTAATATTTTTTTATTAGCCATCCGCAGACTCTCGCCGCGAAGCGGCATAAACGGGGGGTCCGCCGGCGATACACCCGCTGTCCCCCACTGCGCCTCCAAAAAGCCCGACCCGCGCCTCCGCGCCAAGCCACGCCAAGCCGGGTACCGGTAATATTTAGGAGGCTCCGAATCGTGACGTCAGAGTCACGTGACCTAAACGTCGCTCCAGGGTCGCGCACGCGCCCGCTCTTCGGTGTACCGGTAGAGTTTACGACGCGCCGCCGGGCTAGCAGACGACGCAAACCCGCTCGCAGACGGTGCTCGTTTGGTGGTGGGCCGCGAAAAGCTCCGTATATAACTAGACCACGTATTATCTCGGTGTAGATATTTGCCGTTTTTGGGGACGCTGTTCTGAGGCTATCGTATTTGGTCGTGTGGGCGGGCCGACGTTGCGTGTGTGAGCGCGGTTCGGTTTTTGTGCGTGTTTGTTCTGGGTGCGTATAGCCCCGGTGCGCGAATGCCGTCGTTAGGGCCGTTGGTTCGACAGCGCTCTTCCAAGCAGGACGCCGCGGAGACTCGCTCGCCCTGAGTGACTTGTGGGTCGCGCGGACTCTTTGTGCCTGTTTCTATTTGCATCGATTGATCCGAGCGAGCCGACAACTCTCGCTGAGACGAAGCTGTGACGAGGCGACGCCAGGAAGGATCCCTGTCGCATTTGGCAAGCTTTCAACCCTTGTGGTAAGAATAAGGTCCACGCACGCATTTCTGGTTCTGATTTTGTCTCGCGATATAAAGTTGTTTTGAGGGCAAAACTAAATTAGTGAATTTCGTTTATAGATGTATACGGAGCCAGTTCTGCGAATCTAGATATTGTAAAAATGCACGATCTCGAGGGTCAACCGCAATGTAGCTTTGCGTTCATGCTTACGTCAGTGTGCTCTTTTGTCCTTTACCTGTGGTTGCTGTAGTATTATAGGCTCGTTATCATTTTTTTTGGTCAAAAGCACATAAAGTTCTTTTTTTTTAAAGTAATACTTGAAAAAAAAAAAAGTACATTGAAATTTGTTGAAACATAACTGATTAAAAAAGTAACTCCATAAATGTGTTATAATATAAACGTTAAAAAAAATAACTTTATAAATATGCCAAAACAATTGTAATTTGTCCTAAAGATGGAAAACTAACTTTTCGCAAATATATTTGCTATAGTAAATAAGCATGTTACGAGGAGCATGCATATAGAGCAAACATTCTAAGAATTGTTTTATTCGTTACATTTTAAATACAAACGTTTCACTCGAATGTTTGCGTGAAGTCTGTCTAGTCTATTTTGTCACTGCGAGTAAATTCCCACGTACGAAATCGTAGAATTCGCATAAAGCTGCGAGATTTACTACACCGAATATTCGCAATAACAGAGACCGAATCCTGAAAATAAAATATTTACTCAGTTCTAAGGGTTTTGGAATAAGAGAAAAGACAATTGGCGAAACTTTGTGCACTTAACCTCGTATAAAAAAGAAATGCTATTAACAGAAAGAAAGAAAAGGAACGTTATTTGGAAAGTCACAAACATTGTGCTCGGACCATGTGGCGAGCTTTAATCGTAGCATATAGTTCCGGGCGTCGACAGATGCTACACCGAATTCACGTAATACTACCTACCAGTGGAGTCCTAGCTGAGCCTGTCTGCACGGGTACCCATGCACGCGTGCGCGTCACGTGCACATGTATACCTAAATTCGTATACGTGCACGCGCTCTTTTACGCACGCTCGTCTCCTGGCCACGCCAGCCGGGTCCGCAGGTATGCGTGGGTATGCAAGTAGGGTCGCCGTAGTTTTGTTTTGGCGTGCCGATCGCGGTTACGAATTGTTGTGCGAACTCGCGTGACTCATGGCGTTGCGCAAAAGACCGCATTAATTCCGCTTCGTGGATTCTACGCGTTCTCTGGAAGCTTCTATGCGGGTTACATCCTGCTGCTTTTTTTTGCTCTATACGGTGTCTATGAAGCCGTCGGTTGTCCGTCCGGTGTGTATGTATAATGATGCTTAGTATCCTTTTGGGGCTGGCGTTTTTGTGGTGTGGGTGAGATTGGCATTTCGTGAATTTAGGAGAAAAGTACGGTACAAGCTGTTTTAAAAGACAAGCAGAGGAAAGATTAAGAACGGTAATATACGTACACACATACTTGCATACATACATGCATGCGTGCGTAGATAGATAGATGGATGGATATATGGATAGATGGGTATATGGATAGATGGAGATATATATATATATATAGATAGATAGATAGAGTGATAGATAGATAGAGTGATAGATAGATAGATAGAGTGATAGATAGATAGAGTGATATACAGATAGATAAATAGATAGATAGAGTGATAGACAGATAGAGTGATAGATAGATAGATAGATAGATAGGTACATAGAGGGATAGATAAAAAGGTAGCTTTATTGATTGATAGATAGAGTGATAGATAGATAGATAGATAGATAGATAGGATTAGTATATTCAGAATATGACCGTTCATAAATGAATTTGATCAATTTGTATAGTTGTTATATGATATACATATAATGCAGATAATGATATAGATTTGACGTGCATATAAGAGGACACACTATATTGATTAGATACATAGATAAGAAAGGTAGATTATTTAGGTTAAACGTATGGATAAGATAGAATATACACATTATATATACAGATGCAATTTTTTATTGTATGCTTCGTTCAGATAGTTAGATTATATATATATATATATATATATATATATATATATATATATATATATATATATATATATATATATATATATAGCTTCGATTCTTGGATTGGAAACGTAGTTTAGATACTTTATATAGATAACTATGTGTGAGAATACAGACATATTTTCGATGATTATATAGATTATACCCTGATTAGATAGGTTACAGAGATAACTAGAGAGATAAATATCTAGCAGAGTGTTAGAGAATGGAATAGGAGATATTAATAAAATATACGTGAGCAGATAAGATAATTCACGCACACTGACAACAATTCCTTTAGAAGAGTTCTACACACCGCATTTGAAGCTTTCAGCGTGCTTGAAAGAGGCACTGGCGGCAGCGAATTTCGCCAGAGAGAAAGAGAGAGAGAGAAAGGAATTGTATATACAGGGTCCTTAATTTTAATTCGAGCTTATTAAAAAAAAGGGTGAGAGACGACTGTCTCTTCCCCGTATTTATCAGGCTCGGCGTACGTTAGATGAGGGGACAATCGTCAGGGTAAGTAAGCTAATTAGCTGAAATTCGTTAATTACCTTTGTAATTATTGCTTTTAGGGGTCATGTTGGAATTGCAATATTGACGGTAATTGCTATTAAAGGCCAGCCCGATTAAAATAATTTGCAAAAATGTAATGGCTTTTAGGATATGACTATAAAAATTTACACGTTTATTTTTTCTCCAAGAAAAACATCAGTTTCTTAGACTTTCCTATAAACTTTAGTAGAAACTTTTATAACTGTTTATTTAGCGTTTTCTGTGCTGCACGCGACAAGTTATTCTATCCCGCGATAAATATATTTTATCCCGCGATAAATATATTTTATCGCGATTTTATATTCGATTACTTGGAATACGGACTTACCAATGGCTACAGTAGGCACCTGTCTAGTGCCAGAATTTCCCACAAATTAACTGGCTCTTTCTTTTTTTTTTAAATCTTGCTGTTAATTTAGCAATTTTGGAAATACTAGCTCCAAATCTATCTACTCTTGAAAATTTTAACTCCAAATTTAGCTACTTTCCCCCAATCCCCGCTTCCCAAAGGCTGCCTAGTACGGCAAATGCTAACTCCACCCCCGCTCATTGGGTAGCTTAATATCACAATGTTTTAATGAACAATACATAAAAATGAAAGACAGTAACGCCTCTTGCACTCATTAATCTAGCTTGGCAACAGTCAAGCATATTAATCAGAGGGAGCTTGATTTGTTTCCGAACTAATGCTTCTGTTTGCTGCGAGTTTCAGGCTGTCATTTAGAACGTACACATTTTCTACCCAGGCACAGCGGTCCACGTATTAATCCTTTTGTAAGGTCGTTGTGTTGGGGGCTTCGCCCCTTCTTACCGCTCGTTGCCAAGTGTTGCTGGAGGACGATGCCTGCAGATATTCAACATCTTTACCTTTACTTCGAAAATACGAGGCCTTGAACTGCTAGCGAGCTTAATGAACTTTCAAAATAGTGTAATGTTTTTCTTTTTTTTTTTTTGTGTGTGTGTGGGGGGAGGGGGGAGGGGAGAATAATATCCATGTTACTTAGAGCTTCCAAAATATGCGTACCACGTTGCGCACGAAAAAGTGAGTAAGCTATGTAACAATCAACTGATGAATTGTCGTACAACGAAGCACCGTTTTACATTTTTATAGTTGATTAAATATAGTTTTTTTTTTAATTTAAATGAAAGTCGTAATGAAACTAGGGGCAATCGATGTGCATTTTACAAATGCAGGAGCGTTACCAGTTCGTGTAACTTTTAAATGCCGACATTTTTTTTCCCTATTCACCCTCTTTAAACCTCCCTTTCGTATCTTACATGTCATTACTATAAATTTAGAATTTATTTAGGCTTAAATTGCACTCCTGACGTTTAGGAATTTCCCACCATAAATCTGTCATCTACCCTGTTGACATGATCAATAAAAAAATAAAATACACTAATGCTAGCAATGATACACGAATCTCAAATCAAGGATTCAAACCGAAACCGAAACCCGAACCGAAAAACTTTTACCATCATTTTTTTTTTGTTGTTGTTGCTGAGGAGCTAATTTTGATAGGAACTTCTATTTATATTTTGTATACAAAACTCAGATCCAATCACAAAACACCATAGCCCGGTGTCCCGGTTTATAACAAGGGGAAAAAAATAGCTGCAACTTGCTTTCGTAACTGTATAAATATCAGAGCAATAAAGTTTAGTTCAACAAACAACAACAACAAAAGTCGGAAGAGTCTTAAATGTCGAACAGGTGGTTAAAAAAGCTAGAGCGACGTGAGAGGCAATATTAAGCACAGGTGGGTTTTTGAAGATACCTGCTTCCGTATAGTCCGCTTTAGAGCCGAAAAGCTACTCTTCAAGGTAAGGATACCTCGACCGTCATGCTTGCCAGTTATCTCAAACTTCATCGGAAGTCGCAGGAAACGGTTCTCCGTCTTTTAAAATGTTAAAACAGGCTGCAACAGAGAAAACCAATACTCCCCGAGCTCGCACCTAAAGCTCAGGAAGTGGCCTCTTCGAATGGTAACTATAGGTTGTCTTCACACGCAAACGTGGCGTCAATCTGCCATTGTGTTGTTGTAGAGTTACTGTATGGGTTCCCAGAGTAACGAAACTCCGAAGGTTCGTCTTAGAACCGCGGCGCGGCACTGAATCCGAAACCATGGCACCGCCATCTTGGGTCCACGCGTCGACGGGGGCTTACCAAATCGCAAGAGCGTCGCTCGTGCGAAACCGAACACAGTTGACGCCTGTTCGACTACGAGGCAACGAGCGATACGCGGAACGATCCAGCTGCAATCGGCACTCACCTCAAAAAGCTTGCTTGTTGCAGTGGGCCCGAAATACTTCCGTTTTACTATGGCCAATCAAACGTTCTTCCATCGTCTCGCAGTTGCGTTCTTTTCAAGCGGGATCCGGAAAAGTATCTTTCTATCCTCCGACCTGCTGCTACACCCAAAAGCG